TCCTGCATTTCTTCTGAATCTCAAATATATACCTATAAGCAAAACAGAAGGTACAAAATTAATGTGTTTTCTTAAAACCAATAAAGAAAACCCAAAGTCTGGTTTAGATCTGCTTCTTGTCAGCCTATCCTGTCTGAACAATCATTGGTATTCAGATTGTGCTATTTATCAGCTTTTCTTCATGCCTGCATTGCTATTCAGAGCCATCTCTATTTGAAATGTAGAAATCACAGTGATACCAGTTTCAATTGCATTCCCACGTTAGCCACAGCTCTGACACAGGCAGCCCATGTGACATTCAGGAAAGCACTCCACCAGGATTCCTGGGTAAAATATCATGTAGCCTCTGGGGTGACTTGGCTTAAAAAGGAAATTAAGAATCCTTTTCATACCAAATATCTGGCAGAAGGTTTATGTTTATTAAAAATAGCTGTATTCATCTGCATTGTTTTTTTGGATGTGATTATTAGAACACAGCAATTTAAAGCCTCCCCCTGCCTCTCATCAAAACAGTAATTTTTACTTGCTCTTGTCATCTACCAAATAATTTAGTGATAGATAAGCTGCAGATTTTTTTGGTACATCTGATGCAGAGAAAAACAACTGCTGAACACTGCTTGGAAAAATAAGACCTGTAAAGGGTCTGCAAATCCTACAAGTCAGCATGAATAAGTATCAGCTGGACCTGAGTAAAACAAAATGTTTCTGGGGGACAGGTTTGCAACTTTTGAAACTGCAGTGCCTTTAAATTTGGAGCTAACAACATCAATTGATGATTGTTGAGTTTTGGCATTCATTCATGCTGGTTGGTATCTTCACAACAGACACCTTTGAAACACCACCATTTCAAGAACGAAAGGCTTAAATGAAATACACTTCTCATGCAAAAAACCCAAACAAACAGAAGTTGTACAGGAACTGTAGAGGTTCTGGTTCTTCAAAAGATAAGGCACTGACCAAAATTTCTTAGGTAAAAGGCTGCATAAGAATTTCTTGCCATTTACAAATGTGTTGTAGTCCAGAAATGGTCCATTCCTAGGCTCAGTAAGGTAGACCCTGAAATTTTAAGGACTGATCCCTCAAAGCTACATTGTTACCATAAACAAGTGAGATTCATTCGTGAGGCCATATGGCACATTAGAAGTGAAAAACAGTCTGGGCAGATAAAGGCAGAAAACATTGCTTGCTCCAGCATCTTTTGGAAACAGCAGTGCCATTCATCTATGTGTCTCTGAAGAGATGCGATGGTAACTCGGGACTGTAGGTTTTCTGTGGTACTCATGCACACATATAAAATGCTGCTAGCACTGGTCATCGACAGGGTGGAAAAAAAAAGGTGTATGGCTAGTCTAAGCCAAGAGCTTCCCAAGGACTGGGATCCAAAGTCATGGCTACTTAATGTTCTCGATCACAGCTATCTCTTCTGCTGCACAGTGCGGCGTCAAGCCATTCATGTAAATGCTGTCCGTCTTTGTCAGAGCTGGCAAGAGGTCCTTCTCGCTGGTCAGGTGGTTCACTGACAGTGTTCTCTTGCAGGGGGTCAGGTCTTGGTTGTGGTTGACGGCGAGTTCTGCAGAGAGTTTCCTTTTGATGGAGGTGGCCCGCTGGAACTTGTCGTAGATCTCCACGCTCAGGCGCCTTCGCGTCTCCTTGAACTCGGCGGTGACGTTGGCTGTCCACTCTGCAGCGTGGGCTCTGAACTCCCCAACCTGCAGCAAAAATCAGGAATGAAAAGGAAGAATTATGGCACCAAGGATTACAGACATTGTTTATCTTCAGGAACACGGAGAGAGTGCAGGGCTGCCAAAGAGCTACCACTGCCACAGGCACAAATTTCTCATGCCAGACTCACTCTTTTATTGGCAGTAGCTAAAGAAGAAATGTTGCACTAGTAAGAGTTAACAACAATTCCAAAACCACAAAATTTTTTTCTGCTGATTTATTTTTTTATTGTTATCATAGGCAGTCAGCAATACATGGAAGCTGCAGAGGCTTGACAGCTGTGCAATACCCAGCTGGTCAGGGGATGTTGAAATCCCAACAATCCAGGCTGTGTTATGCATTGTTACTAGAGTGAGGGTTTATTTATGAGCACTTTCACTGTCTCTGGAAAGATCCTTGGGAGACTTGGCAAAGAATTCTGTAAATTCAGATGGAAAATCTTTTTCAAAGGAAACCATCAGCTGTTTGCATCCTTATTCCTGTGCTTGCTCAAACATAGCACCAACACAGCAACAGTTAAAAGGCACCTCAGTGGTATGTCTGCTTCCCAGCCTGAACCCCAAATCATCCTTATTTTTCCTCAGATATGGCATAAGGTAGACTGAGCAGATCTAGTCCGAGGTAAACTGTGGCCTGTCACTTATTTGCTATTGATATTTTTGCACTTGTATTTCAGTCAAATCACTGTTACATTAAGTGAGTTATGTAGGTAACTAAAGGAGGTGCCTTTTGTTCATATCTCATTGTAACTCAAAAGGAAATAGATTGTTTCTCTTTAAATCTCTTCTCCCTCAATAGCTTAATACTGGGAAGATACAGCACAGGGAATATAGACTACTCATAAATATAACTCCAAAGTGAAGCATTCCAGGAGAATTTAACCCACATAAATTAGCCTAATTGGTACTGTTTGGTCCAGAATTTCAATCACTGGCAAACAAACGTTGACTTGGTAAGCACAGAAATTAAAAAAGAATTTACACAGAGAAATATTAGAGGCAAACCATCAAAGAAAAAGCCACAAGATTATTCATGCTTTGCAGTGCAGTGGAAAACAGGAATATAATGAAGGTAAAAATTCATCAGCTCATGCAGGAGTGACAGAGTTTCAGGAAAACTTTTCCCCCTCCAGAAACAAAACAAGAAGATGTCTTTACCCAAGGGTCATTTTATTACTTTTATCTCCACTTCAGTGAATTGGACAGATGACAAATGTGGACAAAGTTCTGTTTTCTAAAACAAGAGCATTTATCTGCAATAAACAGCAGACTCACCTAGCTGAATGATTGTTAGTATTTAGTTTGTGCAGCTAGGATCAGACACACTAAACTTCAGATCTGAAAATAATGAAATCTGCAATGCTGAAATATCTCAGCTGCTCCAATAATTTACTTGTAGCAAACAAGTAATAAAAATATGATAAATAGTATCAGTACACACCCTGGGGCAGTTTTTTTTCCCTTTTCCTAAGCCTTACTAAAGGCAAGTTGCCCAGATCCTGGAAAATGGTTCTGTCTAGGAGAGCAAAGAGCCAGTAAACAGGTTTCTATTTTACCCTATACATTTTATATATACCCCTCACCAGTTGTGTAAGCATTTAACAAACCAGGTCTTTTGCTCAGGCACACATCTCTGGCATTGCATATGGTCACATTCAAGAGATGCTATCAGGGTTGTCTCAGCAACTTACTGGAAGATACGACCACCTTGAACTGTCT